ATAAACTTTAAAAAATCACAACCCGATACATTCTCGTATCTGTATTCTAGTGCACATGTGCAAAATTTCTCCTGGGAAGACATCTAGGAATACAATTTCTGGGTTGTGGAATACGTTCATACTCAACTTCCATGGGTAATGACAAACTTTTTGAAAAAGTGGTTTTACTCCAATATATTCCTACATGTCATGCGTGAGAGTACGTATTGTTCCACATCCTGATACTTAATGATTTATCACACTTCTGCCAATCTAATGGCTGTGAAATTGCTTATTGATATGCTTTTTATTTTCCTTTCCTGGGTTACTATTGATTGTCTTTTCATATATTTATAGGCCATTTGTGTTTCTTCTTTTGTGAAATGTTCAAGTCTTTTAACACTTTTCTGTTTTTTAAGTTTATTTGAGAGAGAGAGAGAAAGCACACGCACACGAGTCAGGAGGGGCAGACAGAGAGGGAGAGAGAATCCCTGACACGGGGATTGATCTCACAAATGGTGAGATCATGACCTGAGCTAAAATCAAGAGTCAGACACTTAACTGACTGAGCCAGCCAGGCTCCCCTCCCCATTTTTGTGTTGGGTTATGATTATTTATTTTATTTAGTATAGGAGTACTTTTATTCTAAACACTATTCTTTTGTCAGTTGTTTATGTTGCAAATATCTTCTGTAAGTTTATGACTTTCTCTTCACCATTTTACAGGGTCTTTTCATAAACACAAATTATAAACTTTATGTTCTTTACTTTATATTTGTACTTTTTGTGTCTTTGTGTTTAAGAAATTCTTCCCTACTCGAGGTCATAACGATATTCTATATTATCTTCTCAATAGAAGTTCCAAAGTTTTGTCTTTCACATTTTGGCTTTTAACCAACCTGGAATTAAGTTGTCTGTGTGTTACCCGATACAGTTTCGATTTTAATTCTTTCCATAAAAATAACCATTGCCATGACAAAAATTTTTTTATAAGTCCATACATTTCTCATTGACCTACAATATGATCAGTGTTAAATAACAATCTTCATCTCTGCACTTAATTCATGTAACTTGATAATGTCTTGATATCTGGTAAAGCAAGTTCTCCCCACCTTGTTCTTTTGTTCTTTTGTTTCATCAACATGGTGAAACTAAGCAAAGAGGCCAAGCAGAGGCTGCAGCTCTTCAAGGATGGCCAGTTTGCCATCCACTGGGGTTTTATTCCTCTTGCGATTTACCAGGGATTTTAGAGGAGTACAGAACCTGCAATGCCTGAACCAACTGTTTTGAACCTACTTTGGGGATAAAAGACTATTTGGTCATCTGGATTTGGAAGCAATCAATGGGCAGGAACAACATAAAAGGCGTGCACTCTAACTTGGATAAGAGTACATCATTCAGACATTCACCAGTTAGAGGGCATAGGCTTCTTACTATACAGATACATCAGTGGCAGAGTGGAACCTCTACTGGATTATTTATGATAGACTGCATCAAAATAAAATTTTGATGATCAAAAAAAAAGAGTCTCGTCTATGGGTGCTTGGGTGGCTCAGTCAATTGAGCGTCCAACTTCAGCTCAGGTCATGATCTCACAGTTTGTGGGTTCAAGCCCCTCATTGGGCTCTCTGCTGACAGCTCAGAGCCTGGAGCCTGCTTTGGATTCTGTGTCTCCCTCTCTCTCTGCCCCTCCCCTGCTCGTGCATGCACTCACTCATTTTCTCTCTCTCTGTCTCTCTCTGTCTCACACACAAAAATAAACATTAAAAATAAAAGTCCTCTTCATCACACTGCCCTGCTTGATTAAAAAAAAAAGTCTATTCTTGGACATTTGAATTCCTAAATGAATCTTAGAATAAATTTAGTATATACAACAACTGACTTTTTAGGGTTTTGACCATAGTTACAATATAATGTATAATCAATATGAAAAGAGTGGACACCTTATAATACAGAGACTTTTATGTACAAGGTCTATCTATTTAGGTATTTAATATAGTCCAGTGAGGTTGTATTCTTTCCTGTATAAAAGCTCTTAAAGATATTTTGTTAGATATATTCACATGCACTTCCTGGTTTTGATGAAAACATAATAGCTTTAAATTCTTTTGCTTGTTCTTGACACATAAATACAATGGATTCTTTATTAATAGCTTTGTGTCCAACATCCTCACTAAACTCTTAGTTCTATATGTTGTCCCTCTTTTGTTCTTTTTTCCATTACCTTCTTTTTGATTCATTATGTTTTTCTAACTTTACTTCTTCCCCTTTAGTACTTTAGAAGGTACATCATTTCTATTCTTTTAAAGATTGTCACAAGTTACAATATGCATATTTAACTTAGCCAAGTCCAAAGTTAATCATCACCTTCCCATCTTCCCTAATGACTAAAGAACTTAGAACATCACTTCATTCACCACTACTACCTTTCTTCAGATTTATATGCTATATTTAAAAATTTTTAATCCCATAAGACACTATATAGTCTTACAAAATTTATATTTATTTAGATTTGTCCTCATTTTTACCATTTTCTGTGCTCTTCGTGTTTTGCATCTCAGATGAGATTTTTCTTTCATCTTAAGTATACATTTTTGCATTTTTATTAGCGAAGCTCTGATGGTAACTATCTTAGCCTTTGTCTAAAAATGTCTTTATTTTAACCTTATTCTTGAAAGATATTTTTGCTGTGTAGAGATTCTGGATTGACACTTACTCCCAGCACACTAAAGATAATATTTCAGGGGTGCTGGGTGGCTCAGCTGGTTAAGTGTCTGACTTCAGCTCAGGTCATGATCTCATAGTTTGTGAGTTTGAGCCCCACATTGGGCTCTGTGCTGTCAGCATGGAGTCTGTCTTGGATCTTCTGTGCTCTTTCTCTCTGACACCCTCCTCCCAGCTCATGCTCGCTCGCTCTCTCGCTCGCTCACTCTCTCAAAAATAAATTAATTAAAAAAAAATAAAGATATCATTTCATTGTATTCTGGTTTCACTATGCTATGGATAAGTCAGTTACTGTCTCCCTTTTCTGTAGGTAATTTGTCTAGTGACAATTTTTTCCTTCTCTTTGCCTTTAGTGTTCTCTAATTTCACAAGAATTTGTCTAGGTAGGATTTTATATTTATCCTTCTTGAGTTTATTTGCCTTCAGTGTGTGGGTTGTTTTTCATTAGTTCTCAAAAATCATGGGTGCCTTGCCTTAGTGGCTCAGTAGGTTAAGCATCCAACTCTTGATTTTGGCTCAGGTCATGATCTCACAGTTCATGAGTTCGAGCCCCGCACTGGGCTCCACACTGACAGCATGAAGCTTGCTTGGGAATCTCTCTCTTCCTCTCTCTCTGCCCCTCCCCCACTCACACTCTCTCTAAAAAATTGCTCAATCATACATTCTTCAAACATTTCCTCTTCCCCATTCACTTTTCCAATTAAATGTACATGAAACTTTACCACTCTATCCTGTATGATTCTTAGCCGGTCATATTTTCTACTTCTTGCTGTTGTCTGTGTAATTGTCTAGACTTATCATTTCTCTCTTCAGATGTGTCTGCTCTATTATTAAACCCACTGACTTTTTTTTATTTCATTCTATTTAATATTTAGAAGTTATATTTGGCTATTTTTAAAATCTGGTTGTTTTTTTATAGTTTCCTGTTTCATACTGGTATTTTCAAGTTTGTCCTTTATTTCTCTAAAGGAATAACCATAGTTAATTTGTAATTTGTGTTTCATAATTTCAGTTTCCAAAATTTATCGTGGCCTTTTCAGTTAGCTCTGCTGGTTCTTGCTCATGCATTTTCTTTGTAGGTTTAATTATTCCTACAGTAAGATGTTCATTTGGTGGTGGTGGGAGGATTTTATTTGTGGAAGTTCTCTGAGGTCTGAAATAAAGTGGGTTTCTTCCAGAAACTATCTTAAGTCCTATGACTGCTTGAGGTTTTTTTGGAATTCAAATAAGGGACCACTGGTGGCTGCAAATTCTTAGCCACTATTTCCCTCCTTTACTAAGGCAACTGACACACTTGGTTTTACTGTCAGTCCCCAGAAGTAGGGAGAAAGGGATTATTTCTAGGTCATCCTTATATCAAGGAATTGGCAAACAAGGGCCAGCAAGCCAAAACTGGGGAACCACCTGTTTTAGTAAATAAAATCTCATTGGAACATAGCCACACCTACTCACACATTGTTGATGGCTGCTTTACAATTACAACAGCAGAGTTGAGTAAGTTTTGACAGAGACTGTATTGCCCACAAAGCCTAAAATCTTTACCATCTGATCTTTTACAAGAAAGTTTACTAGGGGCTCCTGGGTAGCTCAGTTGATTAAACCTCTGACTCTTGATTTTGGTTCCAGTCTTGATCTTACCATTCCTGAGTCTGAGCCCCACGTCAGGCTCTGTGCTGAGAGTGCAGAGCCTGCTTAGGATTCTCTCCCTTCCTCTCTCTCCGCCCCTCCCCCATTTGTATTTGCTCAAAAATAAATAAATATTTTTTTAAAAAATTTTTTTTAATGTTTATTTTATTATTGAGACAGAGAAATACGGCATGAGTGGGGGAGGGGCAGAGAGAGAGAGAGAGAGAGACAGAGATTCCAAAGCAGGTTCCAGGATCTGAGCTGTTAGCACAGAGCCCGACACGGGGCTCAAACCCATGAACTGTGAGATCATGACCTGAGGCGAAGTTGGATGCTCAACCCACTGAGCCACCCAGGTGCCCCATAAATAAACATTTTTTAAAAATAAAAAAATTAAAAGCATTATCCAATATGACACATAAAAACAAATGAATAGAAAAAGGAAATAAACAAAACCATTAACAGAAGATATTTTGATTTTTTTTACATTTTTAAATACTTTTTCTCAGTTCTTTTTTTAAAATTAACCCTTTAGGCAAAAGTTAACCTTTGAAACTATATGTCCTAATGAAAGTGTTGCTATTTTAATTTTATATTTATAGATATCAGTATGGTAAAATTCATTACTCTTTTTTAAAGCTCTGAAAAGAACTCTATAAAATTTAAATTAACCTTTTCCTGACGTAATCTTTGAAGTACTAAAGAAAAGACTGCCATGCTGAAGATCCATCGCTTCTCCCTTCAGTTTGTCTGCTGCAACATCAACAAGGGTAAGTTCATCAGTCAAATCCTAAAATACATCAAAGTTTTGGATAATGTGATCTGAAGAATGTTCCTATTTCAGTTTTAGAAATATGAGTAAAAATTTTGTGTGGTTACCTTATAATCAAAGTAGAGTTATATTTTAATAGATAATTATATAAAAATGATAGTTTGTGAATATGCATAGAGTAACCAGAAGTCAAAGTGAGTGACAGAATGTAGAAAAATTACTAAATGCTTTGCCTTCATATAATTTTTAAATTTTTAGAGAGTTTTTTCCCCTACATCAGATAATAGTTTTAAAACAATGAAAAGGTTTTAAATTTTTTCAAAGGACATTATTACATTTAACTTTTATGCCCAGTTTTTGAATTGGCTGAAGTTGTTTTTAGTATGTGTCCTTATGGCCAAAATAGAAAGGTGCCCCCTGTGGGAACCCATTTCATGTGGTTCAGCACAATACATTTAATGTCAGATCTCCAACCTAGGGGGAAACAGGCATATAACCAGCCCATAGCTCCCAGTCAGCCATGCAGTTACGGAGCTAAACAATGAATACACTTACACCATTCTGTTTTTTTACTTTCAGTACCATATTCAATAAATTTTGTGAGATATTCAACACTTTATTGTAAAATAGGTTTCGTGTTTCATGGTTTTACCCATCTGTAAGCTAATGTAATTGTTCAGAGCATGTTTAAGGTAGGCTAGGCTAAGCTATGATAGGTGGAATAAGTGTATTAAATATATTGTCAACTTAGGATATGTTCAACTTATGATGAGTTTTTGGAATGTAACCTCATCATAAATCCAGAAAGATCTATATAGTCTTCCTTTAATTCTAATTATTCTAATTTGAATTCAGTTTTTTTACCAAATGAAAAAAACACAGAACTGTATAGAAGGAAATTTTCCCCCTCAGATTCCAGTGGCTAGATTCCTAAGATGAGCAGTAAGGGAAAGGGATCAAAGTCCCTATTTACTACTGTCCTCTGAACTTTCTGGAAAACTATAGATTCTAAAACATACTAAATTATGTGTTATATATATCAGGAGTATGAGGAAGATAAGGAGTTTCACCCAGAAGGATCACATATCACTTCTAAGCTAATTGGTAAGAAAACCAGATCACATTCATGGATTCATTTTTTTACATTAGTCCATTTATCTGTCTGGGTATGAACAGGAAAACAGAAACCACTCTAAGCATTTCAACAGAAAGTATTTAATACAGGGAGCTGATTAGACAGCTGTTGGAGGGCTGAAAAGACAAAAAGGGAACATTTGAGGTAACCCAGAGCTATGAAGCTACTAGCCCTAAGACTGGGAACAAAGAGAAAGACTAAAGGAGGCACTTCATGGAGCCAGGTTCAGACCTCTGGAAGAGGCAAAACCTGGCTGCTGTTGATACCACTGAAAGAGCAAAATGAAGCTGGGTAGTCCAAAAGAAACTAGAATCTAGAACCAACTGCTACCACTGAGGCAAAGGGGGCTACAGTGACCAACACAACAAATAGGAAGAAGGTGGTCATTTCTCCACTCCTGCCTTCCAATTTCATCTAATGACCCCTATTGGCAGAACCTAACAAGCTGCCCGCTGGTAAAGGAGAAAAAGATTATGCTGAGATCCAGCACCAGCAACACAGAGTAAAGAAAGTTGGATTTGGAGCTGAGTGACCATAACTTAATAACCAACACAGCCTGTTTTTAAATTATATTTCCAACTTGAATTATCTCTCTTCTTAACAAGTTACCAGACAATTCTCTTATCAAGGGAATCTTCCCAGCTCCATTTGTCTTGACTGTTAGAGGCAGAACTCAAATAATCCCTAAAAATTTTTTTTAATTTTATTTATGTCTTTATTTTATTTTGAGAGAGAGAGGCAGAGACAGAGAGTGAGAGGGGAGGGGCAGAGAGAGAGGGAGACACAGAATCTGAAACAGGCTCCAGGCTCTGAGCTGTCAGCACAGAGCCTGATGCTGGTCAAACCCACAAACTGTGAGATCATGACCTGAGCCGAAGTTGGACGCTTAACCAACTGAGCCACCCAGGCACCCCAAAGTTTTTGTGTTTTAAGAATTAACTATATCTATAAGTCATTTCTCAAACAGACTTCCAAATAGAGAGTCTGGGTTTGTTTAGTCTGTTAGAATTTTTTAAGGATAGTTACGAGCATCGCAAGATCTCTTCTCCAGGAAGTTCTAGAATAGCCATAGTAAGGTAAGAGAATAGTAAAGTAAAAGTAAGAGAATAAAAAAAATCAATCTAAGGAAAACTGCTTTGGCCACTTTATTCTCTACATGACAAGGAAGTAGGCTGTACTGCTATGCTTTCAAGTCTACCTTTCAATAGGGGTGCCTGGGTGGCTCAGTTGGTTAAACATCCTACTTTGGCTCAGGTCATGACCTCACTGTTTGTGACTTCGAGCCTCACATTGCCTCTGTGTGGACAGCTCAGAGCCTGGAGCCTGCTTCAGATTCTGTGTCTTCCTCTCTCTCTCTGCTCCTCCCCTGCTCATGCTCTGTCTCTCAAAATTAGTAAATAAAAATGTTTAAAAATTTTTTTAATAAATAAAGTCCACCTTTCAATGATACATGCAGGTGTCATGGTATTCATTACAGCCCATATGCCCCTTGAAGTCAATAGACTATATAACTACGTATATTTTAATATCTGTCATTACTTTCCATTTATCCCACAATGTGCATCAATGTGATCTGGGTATTTCCAGTGTACTATGGATTCTAGTAGGAAATAAATTGCCTCCAACAACTGACCTCTCACAACTGGAGTTCTGAAATTTCTTGATGTCTTTGAGGAATCTTTATTTGATTCACTGTACTAAGCACTGAATAAATTATTTTTTTAAGATTTTATTCTATTTTATTTTTTTAATATTTTTATTTATTTCTAGGAGAGAGAGAGAGACAGCGTGAGCAGGGGAGGGTCAGAGAGAGAGGGAGACACAGACTCTGAAACAGTCTTTGCTCTGAGCTGGCAGTCAGCACAGAGCCCGACGTGGGGCTCGAACCCATGAACCGCGAGATCATGACCTAAGAGAAAGTCGAATGCTTAACCGACTAAGCCTCCCAGGCGCCCCTAAGATTTTATTTTTAAATAATCACCACACCAACGTGGGGCTCTCATTCACAACTCCAAGATGAAGAGTTGCATGCTCCACTGACTGAGCCAGTCAGGCACCCCATTCAATAAATTCTTTATATCTGCAAATTCACACCCTTCAGTTTTATAATTTTTCTTTTATCTCTTGAATAATTTTCTTCTCTCTCTTTCTTTTTTCTACTAGAAACGTCAACGAGTTACTGGACCTCCTCATCAGCCCTCTAATTTCATCTCTTTTCTATATTCCATCTTTGACGATTTGCTTTCTAGCAGCCCAGTAGAAGTAATAAGGGTTCCTGCCTCACTGTCCAAAATGTAGATTTTCACCTAATCCTACTGCCTTCAATAAGATGCCCATCTTTACTGTCCTTGATGCCTTGAGCACAGAACATGCCTGATAAAATTATCCAAAGGATGTACTACTTCCCCTTGCCTTCTGGGGTGTGAGAAGCAGTTACTTGGTTGATTTAGGTGCAGAAGGGAATCTGGTGGTTTTCCTTCTCATCATATAAACTTTGGATCAATTCTCCTGTGTTTTTTCCATCCTCCACGTTGTGAGGTAACTGGTACTTCCAATTCCTAAACCTTTCTTGGGGCTCTGGATCTTAACTGGCTTGGCTTCTTGTCATCTCTCTCTCCCAGTTTAAAAAAAAAAAATTGTCTAGATAACATAATAAAGCTTTTAAGATCACAGGATCTGTGTCCAGATTGCCAAGGTTTGAATTCTAAACCCTTCACCTACTAGCTACTTGACCATGGGCAAGTTACTTAATATCTATGTTTCAGTATTTTCATGGAGATGAAAACAGTACATACCTCCAAAGGTTGTTATAAAGATTAAATAATATCTTTAAAACATTTAGAGAAGCAAAAGACTTGTACACTGAAAACTACAAAACGTTGCTGAAACAAATTAGACACAAATAAATGGAAAGACATCGCATGATCATGGATTGGAATTCCTAATATTGTTAACATATTAGGAATCTGTCAACATACCCAAAGCAATCTACAGATTTAATGCACACCCCTATGAAACCCCAATGGCATTTTTAAAAAAAATAGAAAAATAATCCATGCTAAAATTAATATAGTATCCTAAAGGACTGCAAATGACCAAAACAATCTTGAAAAAGAATAAATTTGGAGGTCCCATGCTTCTCAAATTCAAAACTTATTGCAAAGCTATAGTCATCAAAATAGTGTGGTATTGGCATAAAGACATACAGACCAATGGAATAGAGAAACCAGAAATAAACTCTCACAGGGGTGCCTCGGTGGCTCAGCTGGTTAAGCATCCAACTCTTGATCTTGGCTCAGGCCATGATCTCATGGTTTGTGAGATTGAGCCCCATGTTGGCCTGTGTACTGACAGCACAAGAGCCTGCTTGCGATTCATTCTCTCTCTCTTTCTCTCTGCCCCTCCCCTGCCTTCATGTGTGCTCTCTCTCAAAATAAATAAACTTAAAAAAAAAAAAAGAAACTCTCACATATATGGTCAAATGACTTTTGACAGGAGTGCCAAAAACCATTCAATGGAAGAAAGGAGAGTTTTTTTCAACAAATCATACTGAAATAATTGGATATTTACATGCAAAAGTATGAAGTTGGACCTATACCTTACACTATATACTTAATTAAAAATGGATCAAAGATCTAAATGTAAGACCTAAAACCATAAAACTCTTAGGAGAAAATAGAAGGGAAAAGATTCATGACATTAGATTTGGCAATGATCTTTGGATATGAAGTACATGCAACAAGAGTAAAAATAGATAAATTAAACCACATTACAATTTTAAAATGTGTATCAAAGAACATAATCAACGGTGTGAATAGAAACCATGGAATGGAAAAAAAATTGGAAAATAATGTATTTGATAAGAGATTGATATATAGAATATGAAAAGAATTCCTACAAGTCAACAACAAATAAATACCATGATTTAAAATAGGCAAAAAATTTGAATATACTTCTCCAAAGAAGATACACAAATTGCCAACAGCCACATGAAAAGATGCTGTGTAAATAGAAAGGAAAATTAAAGGACTTCCATTATTATTTTATCAAATTGGTACTTTGATAATGAGCATGTAATACTTAAAAATAATTTTTAAGTATACACTTCTGGGAAATGCGATTTTCACCCATTACTCTTCCAGAAACGCAAGGTATGGAATCATTTAAACAGAATATTAACAAAATAATGCAATAAACGTGTCTCCTATGAGTAAATTTAAGTAGTCTAGCAATGCCTGACATATGTTAAACTTCAGATAAAGGTTTCTTAAATTATGTCAAAATCAGATAAGTGAATACATATTTGCTATCAAAGGATTAGCCCTACAACCCTGAACTCATCAACATCTACAAGTCCTCAAAGTTCTGACGTGATTTTCAGCCACAGGGTAGACTTCTTACTTACCTTCAATAAGATGCAAATAGCAGAAGCCATGCCTACAGCTCCAGTTCCGACAATGGTGATCTTAGTCTGGGGGATCTTATCTTCCCCAGTTAGATTCTCAATAAGCTTCTCCTTGACAGTAGACATTTTGAGAACCTGATAGGGATAATGAAATTTCAGTGGAATCCAACTCCCTAAATTGATCACTCTCATAGGTATCAATGTGCTAACCACACCTAACGCCTAAGGACCTACCTATTGGGTTTGCAGGATATTGGAGCCAAGGGTGGGAGAAGCGAAAAAGGAATTTCCCAGTCAAGGGGTGTGGAGAGGTAAAGCAAGGGTCAGTCTACCAATCAGTAGTAGGGGTTGGGGAACCAAGAAGCTTTTATTTCTCTTTGCCCTCAAGCCACCATTTTCACCCCAATACTAGATACTCACAAATGCTTTGCCTGGTACCACTTAGCCAGAAAGCGCAACGCACCGCCTTTAAGGAAGATTAAAAAAAAAAAAAAAAGTAACATCAGAAGAAAAACATCAACGACAGCTGAAGCGCGCAGCCCTGTGACGGTTACTCTGGTTACTCTCGGGACCATCCCCAAGCGCGACTCCCTTTCGTCAGCACGCAAGCTCCGCCTCCCGCGGGCCCAGACGTAGGCACCTAGGCAGGCACTTAACGGTGCTTTCCACCTGGGGAGCTTTCTCGAACTTCTGGGGTTGAGTCCTTGGTGTCCCAATGAAGAATCCTAGGCGTCCTTGAAGAGTGGGAAAGAGAGGGATATTGGGAATACAGTTTCATTTCTTTCTGCCAGCCTAGACCTGGGATTGAGTTTAGTGTCGAGTTTTTGGAGACCTCGGGTCACACTGGGGAAAAGCCCTCTTGGGAGCATCTCATTTTCTTAACAGGTGTGCCATCATAAGACCGCGTCCTGATGACATAGGTTCCAAACTGCTTCCAGATAACTTGCCTCTTTCTGATAGGGCATGCTGAAAGGAACTGAGCCCCCAAAGATTAAGAATTTAAGACTGGGCTTGGCAATGACGAACCTGAATTTTAGTATTTTTTGATGTACTTTATCACACCCGAGTGCATACATTTATCTGCAAGAATTTAAAGCATTGAGCCTCTTGGGGCGCCTGGTTGACTCACTCGGTTGAGCGTCCGACTTCAGCTCGGGTCATGATCTTCCGGTTTGTGGGTTCGAACCCCCAGTCGGGTTCTGTGCTGACAGCTCAGAGCCTGGAGCCTGTTTCAGATTCTGTGTCTCCCTCTCTCTGATCCTCACCCAGCTCACTCTCGCTCGCTCTCAGAAATCAAACCTTTTTTAAAAATTAAAAAAGAAATAAAACATTGAGCCTCCAAAACTTCAGGACAGAGGGCTGAAATAAAGTTTGAATTAAAGTAGTAATGAGGGACACCTGGGTGGTTAAGTCAGTTGAGTATCTGACTCTTGATTTCAGCTCAGGTCATGATCTCACTTTGTGGGTGTAAGCCTCAAGTCAAGCTCCACGAGCCTGCTTGGGACTCTCTAAATAAAAATAAATTAAATAAATAAATAAACAAACAAATAAATCAAACAATCAAACAATAAATAAAACATAAAGTAGTAATGGAAAAGAAAGGCCATGTCGAATTTTCTAAGGGAGCACTTAATTTATACCATGGGAAGGGGAAACAACCTCCTTGGTCATCTTCTGTTGAGTATTTGCACCTGAATCCTTTTCCACTTTCTTTTTCAAAGCCTATGTAGTTCAGACCATGCAATCAATCACCCTGCTTAAAACCCTTCCATGGCTTTCCATTACACTTAACCAATTTTTACCACAACCTAAAAGACATTCAAGATTTGGCCTCCTAGCCCTCCAACTTCATCTCTGGACACTCTCACCTCACTCACCTCCAGATTTTGCACAGCTTTTTATTGGCTCAGGACTTTTTGCTGTTCCCTGTATTTAGAAAGTTCTTGTGGCACCTGGGTGGCTCAGTTGGTTAAGCATCCAACCTCAGCTCAGGTCAGGATCTCACGGTTTGTGAGTCTGAGCACCAAATCAGGCTCTGTGCTGACAGCTCAGAGCCTGGAGATTGCTTCAGAGTCTATGTCTCCCTCTCTCTCTCTCTCTCTCTCTGCCCCTCCCCTGCTTGAGCATGCTCTCTCTCAAAAAGAAATAAACATTAAAAAAAAAAAAAAAAAGAAGAAGAAAGTTCTTCCCCAGCCCTTCTCAAATCCTTGTTTTCGGTTTGGAACATAAATGGCACTTCCTCTAGCTTTCCTTGACCAGTGTTTCAATTACCATTACCTTGTCACATCCCTCCTGCTTCTCTTATGGCACTTTTCACAAACTACCAGCCCCAAGAAATAGGTTCCCTGTAGCAGACAGGAGAAGCAGCCACTGTTGGTCCTGTACTACTACTTCCTTCCACAGCAACTCTCCGTGTTTGCACCTCATTCACCAGGAGGTTAAGAGAGAAACACTGCTGGTGTGGATGATCATCTGGTGGCAGAAAAAGGTAGTGACCAAACTCCTGATCTGTGTGAAGAAAAAGGCTCTTCATTCATACCTACCTGAAGTGCAGGGCTAGCCCTTGAGGTCCTCTGGCCTGAGTGTGCTCACTGGGTAGCTACAATCCAAGCTAGCTTAGCCATTGTGCTTGATTGTTCAGCAATGTAAATACAAGAGGGCCAAGATCTGTACATTCCACCATCTGCCCAACTATAGTACAAATGCGGTAAAGAATTCCGAAAGAGCATGGCTTTGAAGTCCTGATACTTTGGCAATATGGGCTTTAGTGAAAAAAATATATATATCGATCTATCTATATACATTTATATGAACATATATATGTATATATATATGGAAGGAAGACTATGTTCTGAACATCCCATTTGCTTCCCCACTACTGGCATCTTGTGTTAAATGGAACGAAGGCATACTTAATCCACTTCTCCAAGGTTATTAAAACTAAAATGAGATATTACATTTTAAAGAATCAAGACTTTACAGAGTTGGCCCATTCCTTGCCTAGGGAAGGAAGATACAAGGTGATCCTGAGATACTTTTTTTTTGCCAGAAAGTAAGGAAGCTTTACAAGATTAAATCTAAAAATTCACAAAAGATTAGGGTAATAAATCTTTAAGCATTATTTTTCAGTCATGTTGGTATTGACTAATTTACTCTATCAGATATGAAATTAATAAATGTAAATACATTTTTTTAAAGACTAAAAGTTGCCTCAAATTTACATGAGGCCAAAGGCCTAAGTACAGGTTTCTTTTTGGAGTAATTAAAAAGTTCTAAGAGTAGGTAGTGGTGAAGGTTGTACAACTATATGAATCCACAGAATTATATACACTCCTTTAAAAAATTTTTTTTAATCTTTATTTTTGAGAGAGAGACAGAACAGGAGCAGGGGAGGAGCAGAGAGAGAGGGAGACATGGAATCCAAAGCAGGCGCCAGGCTCTGAGCTGTCAGCACAGAGCCCAGTGCGGGGCTCATGAGATCATGAACTGAGCTGAAGTTGGATGCTTAACCGAATGAACTACCCAAGTGTCCCTGCACTCTTTCAAAAGGTGAATTTTAGGGACACTTGGGTGGCTCAGTCAGTTGGGTGTCTGACTTTGGCTCAGGTCAGGATCTCATAGTTCATGAGTCTGAGCCCTGCATCGGGGCTCTGTGTGGACAGCTCAGAGTCTGGGGCCTGCTTCAGATTCTGTCTCCCTCTCTCTCTGTCCCTCCCCTGCTTGCGCTCTCTCAAAAATATTTTAAAAAAATTTTTAAGGTAAATTTTATGATGTATAAATTATATCTAATGTCTGTTTTTTTAAAGCCTGTATAAAAAGCAAGTCCTATTATAATACTTAAGACTACATAGTTCAGTCCTTTCCTTTTACATTTGAGACATGTTGGGAAAAAAAAAAAAGCATGGTTCTTTCTCTTCACTAGCTCTCAGGAAGGAAAGTTCAGTGAAAGATCCTAGATAAGTGATGACAATAAAGTTGTTCTAGTTAACCTGTAGAAGTATCCGGGCCTGAATAAGGATCATAGTTGTAGATATATTTTGAGGAAAACCTAGAAGTTTCTGAGTGGACAACCACCAAGGCTATTTGGCTTAAAACGGTTAAGTACCATCAAGTTAACGGCCTCCAGAAAGCAAAAGTTCTTAAAAATCTGTGTATCCTTAAAGTGACAAAGTACCACTGCCTATGCTGTTGGCAAATGGTATTTTTACATTCAGGTGTAGAATGTCATCTACATGGATTATAGGGTACCAGTTGTGATTAGCACTATTACCGAGTTCTCTCTTAGTAACCTGGGGTTTAGCATAGTGAAATGATTATAATGGAAATGGTACCACAATTACTTAGTCATATATTAATTATATTAAATCATGTTAAAGTCTGATTGTTAGTAAATAATACATCTTAAAAATACCACTGTAGTCTTGCCCAAGAATACCCTAAAGGGTCCCAATGATGTAATGAGTAAGTCACCGCTTTATTTACCTTAATATAATAAATTAAGAGAAGAGTCACCGTTTAAAGTTTATTTGGTATTTTAGTTGGTTGGTATGACACTTAGTTGGTTGCATTGTTTATATGCAGATCTTTCGTTTTATATTATATGGCAATGTACACTATATTCTGACTGATATAGTACACAAAATAAGATCCTTTAGAACAGTTATGCACAACATGCAATACTGAATTTACATACTGGATCCCAGGATGTGACTGGCTGGAGGAAAAACAAAAGTTGGACTAGGCGTGTTGGGTGGAAGGAACCAGAAGTAATAGAACACACAGGAAATACACATCTGGTTTGAACAGCAGCCGCAGCATATGCAGCATTGGCAGTTGTGCGTCCGAGGCGATGGAACTATTTTACGTTAACCAACTCAGGACTCTACAACATAGGTTCCATCCACCGTCTGGATATGGCTGCAAGGTTTTGTGAGCCATTCCAATTTTAACTTTAGGAAACTGATGTTCTTCCTAAGCCCTTTTAACATTACCACTTGAGTAACAGATCCAATAATAAGGACAATATATACAACTTCCAACTAAAATCCTGTCGTAGTCTAGACTGTGAAGTGGTACAACGTTAGAAAACTTTAAAACTGCAGCTCTTTTTGGATCCCCCAAAGTGTATCCGCACTCTTCTTCAAGCGGGCCTCTTCCTCAGGAGTCAGAGTCACCTTCACAACATCTGAGATCCCATTCTGTCCCAAGATGCAAGGGACACTAAGGAAGACATCATCTTTTATTCCATAGAGACCCTGAAGACAAAGTGAAAAATATTTTATGTTTTGTCTACGCATTCTGGCATCTCTGAGACTTTCACGCTCTACAATTATGTATGCTTATTTAATACAACGTGGTAAGTAGAAATTTCTTTCCACATTTTCAGTTAGGATGTGAGTAACAGTGCAAGTCACACTTGCCAAAATGCCAGCAAGATTTCTGTTCTAAAAGAAAATCTAAATTATTGCCATTATCCATAGTGCTGTCCTATTTTTATTGATAACATCTTGGTAACTCTAACTTGAGTGTGACTTCTTTTTTTCTGCAAAGAAAAAAATTTTCTTTTATGGTCTTCCACCTACCCCAGATTATTATCAGTAAGTTATCAAGTATCTAGGTGGTGAACACAGTACTAGGAGACATTAATCCTAAAGCACAACCATTTCTCTCCAAAGAAGAAAGTTGTGTGTGCATTAATTTATTTCACTTAAATCAATGACTGATGACTACTCTAACGGCTTTCACAGAAGACTCTTTTGTAAAAGCCAGGAAATAATGGCATTTAGATACAATGTGTCACTACATAGAACTACCTTAATCATGGTGGAAATTGGATGCACCCGCCTAAGATTCTTCATTATACTTTCTGCCAAATCTGCCACAGACAGTCCAATGGCCCAGGAAGTGTAGCCTTTCAGTTTGATCACCTCATAGGCACTGTAGGATAGGGAAGGGCAGGGAAAGGTAGGACAAGGTAGGGTAAGAGAAACAAAGAACAACAATGCTTTCACTGAACACAGGCTTTACAGCAAATAATGCCACAAAGTTGCACTGTAGACCTGAGTAATGATTGCCATGTGTACCAGGATATTATGTACAGGGATGTTCACAACTGTACTGTTAGTAACAGCAAAAACCTGGCAACAAGCTCGATGTAAGTGTGAGCCCCGTGTCAGGTGCTGTGCTGACAGCTCAGAGCCTGGAGTCGGCTTCAGATTCTGTATTTCTCTCTCTCTGCCCCTCCCCCACTCACGCTGTCTGTCTCTCTCAAAAATAAATAACATTAAAAAAAAAAAACTTGTATGCTCTACCTGACTAAGCCAGTCAGACATTCCTAGAAAAAAGTTTTCTAACAAGTACTCAAATGCTATTAAACTTCCAAACTTTAAAATAAAATTAATAAATTTTAATCTTCTATATTGCCAAATTATGGGATTACCTGTCAACCACCTGTTTGTGAACCTCTTTCCACTGTTCCTTATCTGCATCAGTGCCTAACTCAGGGTGCAGATTCTTCAGGGAGACACCAGCAACGTTTACTCCACTCCATACAGGCACTAAAAGAAATAGTAAAGAATACATTTATTTGCATACATCATCCAGCAGACTCTAACAGCACTCCGGCCAGCCTTGCTTGCCTTGCTTCAACTTAACGCACTCCTTGCTTGCTGACTTCAGACCCTTGATCTTTAACAGAACTAATTTACTTTCTTTGATATTTGCAGACCACTGGCCCTGGAGAATAAAAGATCAGAACTTTCCCAGGCCACAGAGGCCAGTAAGTTTGTTTGAAGAAGCCACCTCACCTTTCCGATTAGCCCAGTAATCTTTCAGCAAAATGTTTTTTTTTTAAGGTCACACAAATGACTTTACTGACCTCCTTCTGTGCATCTGCAGACCTCGCCCTCCTTTGCAGAAAGAACGGAGTGCTCTTGCACAATCCCTGGGTACCAAGGAACCAGTGGTTCTTGTACAACCACTCCCACATGTCAAGGAACCATACCATCTTGTACAACCCCCAACCCCAGCCCCGGGCACCAGTGAGCTAGAAGCTTGCACAACCTTGGAGCACCGAGGTAACTCTGCGACTGGCATCATCAAACCTGCATGTAATCAAGAAATGTCACAGACTACTGCATTTCCTTAACTCATTAGACACCTTCAAAAATCTCTGGGCCTGGAAGAATCCTTGGAGTTGACCTTTGGACAAGAGTCTGCCTTCTCCCCATGTGGCCAGCCTCCTGAATAAAGCTCATATTTCTTTCCAGTCAAAACTCCGCTCATGAGTACTGGCCTTTTGAGCATCAGGCCACCAAACTTGGGTTTCGGTAACAAGACTAGTGATTTTGACCCTAATTCTCATTTCTTATCTGAGATCTGAGGAGGACAAGCTGCTTTTGGTAGATAGTCAAGACTACCAATGCCCTTACTCTTAGATTTTCATTGATTAGATTATATGAGGCTAAGAATTTTCAACATATTCTAACCTGTTTTCCTAACCTATTGGGATTTTTAATCCATATTTGAAATATAAAGACAGTATGAGATTATAAGGGGAATTTTCTTGACCTAAATAACTGTGAATTCAACTGTGATAGAATTTTTCCACATGCTCCATTTGGATTACTTAACCTTTTCACAGCCTCACAATTCAAGTCTCGTATACACAGTTGTGATAGTAAATGACTAAGGTCATCCTAAGAATTATCATCTCGAGTAAAATAAACTTCATTCCCCATCCCCTGTGTCATAAGAGGTCACATAAAATGGCTAAAATTTGAACAATTCTTAGCAGGCAGTTATGCCAAAAGAGAGATTTCTAGAAGCCATTCCACTCTAATGAATGGATATCTAATTTCAGCTCTGATTTAATAATGAAACTTCTATCAGTATCTCACACAATCTTTTTGAAAACAAAGAGAAAATACGTTATGCTTACCACTAGAGTCTCCATGCTCGCCAAGGACCCATCCATGACAGCTTAATGCATGAACTCCCAGCCTTTCCCCCATGAGGTAACGGAACCGGGCTGAATCCAGATTGCAACCACTTCCAATAACACGGTTTTTGGGAAAGCCACTTATCTTCCAAGCCACGTAGGTCAAGATATCCACTATGAAGAAAACATTTAGGCAAAAATATTGGGTAAATCATTAGATAAAGCTTAGCTACTCAAGATACATGATCTTGATCATGACCAATCAGTATTTTTGTTACTATTTTTAAACCTCTATGTATCATATAGCAAATTCATTAAGTATTCAAGAAGTGTAGCTTAATGAAAATATACTGTGCATCAAGAACACCTTATTCATACCCTTATCCTTTATCTAAGATCTTCTTGAGCAAATAACTAATTTTTAATTTCTAACTACACTGAGGGGCACTGTATCCCCTTTAATATATTAAACTTAACTATTTTGCCAAATCCATTCACAAGAGGAAAATGAAAAATATGAGAAATAAATAGGTATACACAGAATCTGACATATATCCTCAGTGTTACTCAACCTCTCCATTTGTGCAATTAAAGGTCTCACCTGGATTGGAAACAATAAGCAACTTGCAGTTCGGGCTTTATTTCACAACATTAGGAATGATGAACTTAAAGATGTTCACGTTACGCTGGACCAAATTAAGACGGCTCTCTCCCTCTTGCTGACGTGCCCCAGCTGTGATGATAACCAGCTTGGAGTTTGCAGTCACGCTATAGTCTAGACAAAGGGGAAACAAAAACCGGGTTAAGGCCTTAACCTCTTCCATAAATTGTTTTTTATGAACAATTTTATGAGTGTCTTGTTACCTCCCTTACTTCCTTTCACACATCGGTAAATACTGACAAATGCCACTAATGCCACCCGTACCCCCAACCCATGACTCTTTTAGCTTTTGGTTTTATCTGTGGCCACCTAACATGGAGGAGGAGTACATCAACACCTTCCTTGTGTTCTGGTTTTAGACTTTGAATTTATATAACCACAGTTGGAAGGTGCTAGAAAGAACCAAATGAGACATTATCCCCAAATTTTTTGCCACCTGAGCTCAATGCTCAGGCTCTTCCATAACCCTATTTCTTAATTATTTTATTGTGATCATATCAGCACAGAGATAGGCCTTTTTTTTTTTTTTTTAAAGCAAAGGCAACTTTACGCTTATGAAGCATATCTTGCTTCTAGATACTCTATGGAATAAGATGGTTAATCTAGTCCATAGATAAGTGGTCAGTGATTTTCAAAAGAAACCCTATTTGTACACATGTCCAGCTTTCCTGACTAGGGCTCTTAAGTGTCAAAAGTCTGAACAGGCTCATTCACCTTATTCTCAGCCTTGTGTTAGTGTATGAAAGTAGGGGAAGTAAGTATATTAAATTTAAATATTTGAATCAATGTGGTTAAATATGGATCTGAGAAGCTTTACCAATTACATTTGAAATCAGATGCTTTCCACATCATAGACCTATTGGATTTCCATTACTAGAAATTGAAAACTGTGGTATAAACAGGTTGCCAATGCAAAACTGCTCAAAGGCTCTATGCTCCTGTATAAAAAATAAATCTCTGAAGAAGGATTTCAAGCCTCATAAAAAATTTAGTCTAGCATAGACCAGAAATAAACTTGTTGAAATCAACCTTTGCCAGAGACAATTTTTGGTGTTCTAAGGAACAGGCTGCCATGCTGGAGATCCATCATCTCTCCCTTCAGCTTGTCTTCAATGACATCAACAAGAGCAAGTTCATCTGCCAAGTCCTAAAAGACACAAAATTTCAAGCCAAATTGAAAAGGACTACTTCCAAATTTTAGAAAGGGATGCAAAATTTCTATGTTTCTAGCATAGGGGAGCTCTGCCACTTTTTTAGTATCAGGATACACCTCAAAGTAGAGGCAGGCCCCCATTTAAAAACTGATTCCCATGGGCGCCTGGCTGGCTCAGTCAGTCCAGCATCCAACTCTTGATTTCGGCTCAGGTCATGATCTCACAGTTCCCGAGATTCTCTCTCTGCCCCTCCCCACCTGGCACGTATGTATGCTCTCTCTCTCTTTCAAAATAAATAAACTTTTAAAAAGTGACTCACAGACGACCCATGTCATGGAAAAAGTATCGATCCTGTCTCTTCACTAGAGCAACCTCTGCGAGCACTCCACCATTCCACGGTGTGGAAGCAGAACACTAGGTTGACAATGGCTGGAATCACTCCCAATTACACAAGACTGTTCTGTCTACTCTCTTGCTCAACTTTACACATTGCTTTTACGTCACTGATCATTACATAAGTGATGCTGACCAGTCTTAAGACTCGGAAATTAAAAAGTGATATTCTGGATCATTCCTGGTCCGTACGTTTTCCATATATTTACCAACATGAACAGTGTTCCAAGAAGAGAGATTTGTGCATTCCAAGATAATATTGGTGAAAAATATCCTTTCAATTGAATCTGTAAATGTTCATAGGTGCATCTCAGACCAGGAGCACCAGCAACAGCTTTAATACCCATGGGATGTGAACTATTATAACCAAGTAAGTTAACACTAATTGAGCAACAGATCTACCCTCCCCCCGCCGTCATCTATAATAACCTGGCAGTTATTCTTACACACACTGAGTTAGATGGCATCACAGGAGTGGAAAAAACAAATGGCATCAATTCCTTATCCAGTGGGAAGCTGTAAAAATTGGTTCAGGTGTCCCCTGATTGTCACAAGTTTGCATTATGCCACTTCGATTTTACAAAAGACCTACCATTAGTACCTGTTTCCCCTAACTGAAATGAATCCAAAGAGGATTTCTGCCTTTATGAAATAAGGCAAAAACCAAAGATGGTGTTCAGTGTTTGTTGTGTACCGAGCCCTTACAGGAGCAAGGAGCAGCACACATCCAAGTTACCACCAAGCTCCTTCCCCAGGGAACTTTACTCAGCATCTCAGTATCAAGCTGCTATAGCTTTGCACTTTGTGAGTGTCTGTACTTTATCTCCATTTTGTGCATCCATTAGCAAAATGTGTCCTAAGGTATCAGAAAAATTCTAAGGTTATTTTTTGGGTCTGGGAATGCTCAAAAGATTTTCTGTATAAATTAGTGGTAACTGCTTCTTTACTTTACACCAGGCTTCAGAAAGGTTTCATAGGAATGCTCTTCTTTTGGATAGTGGGGGAAACCTTTATACTATGTGGCCCCTCCTAAGAACAGATATAAAGCAACCTATGTTGTTACACAACCTCAGCATAGCTCATTTCTGCCTTCAGTTCCTTATTTCAATCTTTTCCTGTTCAAACCCCAGAATTCATCATTACACTCCCTTATTAGGGACTCCAAATCTAAACTCAAAATATTTTAAACTGTAAGCTGCCTCAATTTCTTTTTTTATATAAACTAGGCCTAATTAAGATAAAATGTGTTCTTTATTTATTATCAAGTTATCTTTTTCTAACTAAATTTTAACTCTGCAGTTGGTACCAAAATTACTATTCAAGGTGAGGGCCAATGGGGATTTTTGTGGGAGAAACACATAAGATTCCCCACACTGTATAATTAAAAATTTTTTTTTTTTTTATTTTGAGAGAGAGAGTGCACAAGCAGGTGAGGGACGGGGAGAAGGAGAAACAGGACTCCAAGCAGGCTCCATGCCATCAGTGCAAAGCCTGACATGGGGGCTCAAACTCACAAACTATATGATCATGAGCTGGGCCAAGATCAAGAGTGGGACTCCCAGCTGACTGAGCCACCCAGGCGCCCCTTTGTGATTTTAATTTTACCAAATGTATGTATCATTTTCAATTCAAAAATCACTTTAAAATAAAGGCATGTTTACCTTGTTTAAAGATATGGACTGTTTTTTTCATTTGTAGGCAACTCATATATGTTAATATGCCACAGTGAATTTAAGGAACCGTGTCACCGGCTTATAACTTTTTTTTTTTTTTTTTTTTTTTTTAGTTCGGATACCCTTTTGGTATAGCATCACATTACTAGTTTGTTCCACATAAAGTTCTTCAAATGAATGCATGAACCTAAATATTTGTATATACAATGTAATAATGCAATTCTTGGAGGAGGAGTAGGGGGGATTGGTGGGGTCAAAGTATCCTTGGCTTCCCCAGTGATGGGCTTTCACTTACCTTCATTAAGATACTGATGGCACAAGCCATGCCAACAGCACCAACCCCAACAACTGTAATCTTATTCTGGGGGGTATGCTCTTCCTTAAGAAGATTCTGAATCAGCTGATCCTTGAGAGTTGCCATCTTGGACTTAGAACCAAAAGGAATCTATAGACGGAAAACACACTGTCACTGCATCTCTTTAAATTAAAGCTTATTAACCAAAAGCTGTTCTAAAAGAGCTTATTTCACTTCCTTTTGGGGTACTTGCCATTAAAAAGAGGGAAGGAACAAACCTAAAGATGGCCAAAGGGATATTCAAAGGCCTAATGCCAGGGTGTGGTCTGGGTAGGATCTTAGTGTAAAGGATCTCACCTTGGTGTGTAAAAATAATATTGACGTTTGGGTGTAAGTATAGCTTCCTGAGGACTCACTCATCTTGATTTATTAACCCCAAGGGGGGCTGCCTTCCCTCACACAAAATCACTGTAACTGCCTTTCCAACTGTACTCCAATAACCCGTCCGGCCAAATCTTCAAAAAAATAACGAGAGGAATGTGCAGAAAATTCCCGTAAGGCTCATACAACGACTAGGACGCCATAGGAGGTGCCAAAAGCTCTGCTCATGCGCACTCACTCCTTTCTCCAGCCCCAGAAGATGGGGCGGAGATCAGACCAACAGCTCTGTGGTTTTTTCCGCCCCTCCCTCACCCGGTTCGGAGCAGCGACACGTGCGCATGCTCACTTCCGAGCGCTGGGCGGGGACAAGAGTAGGGTCTATAGACAGTGGCGTTCGTGGTTTCGAGAGCTAGGTACTGGCGCGGAGGCGCGCGTCTGGGAAGCCCCGCCCAAGAGCGGAAATCACTGGGAACCCTACTGCTCTTGGGGTACGAGGGAGCCAGCCACGAGGCCGAGAGCCGCGAGGTGGACTTTAGACCTAACTAGTGCCCCAGCTGGCAGCCTCCCTGGCCTTGCGCGCAGCCAGAGCCAGACTTTAAGTCGCAATACTAGACACAAGGGGCTGTTAACCACGAGGGAGGGAGGTCCCTCGTGTGGTTTCTGCTATGATCTGTGTTGCAAAAGTCTGAGGCCCGGTATGAGGAAATTTTGTCAGTACGGGAAGTGCAAAAATAGCTGCAGAGGCCTGGAGCCCTAAAGTTAATAGATACTTGTGGAATCCTCCATTTCCAGTGCCGGAGAGGGGGCCTTCGTTCGCTCTGCTAATCCAACCCTGCACTGCATTCACTGGAATAAAGATTATCGCAGGTTGCATCCTGAAGCGCCACGTCTGGTTTTGACACCACCCCAAAAGGCAAATCTATCCGAGAGGATTTCCAGGCAGGCAGCCCAGAGTCACCAAGGTGGAATCAGATTTCTCCGTATAAATCCTGTCTTCACCCAAACCTAAACCCTGGCATCCAGCGCTCCCTTCAACGTGGCGGTACGGGTAGGGGACGAGCCCTGCAGAAAGTGGGTCTACTCCACCAAGTCTGCCACCCACTCTGTGACCTCAGAGCTGCCCTAACCCTCTCCCAGCTTTAGGTTCCCCCATTTCTCAAAAGGAGGGCATGGTACCAGACAGCCTACTCTCAAAAGACCATCCGAAAGGCAGGAGGGCCGAGACTCTCCCTGCTTCATCTTTGCACGCACCGTGCCTAGCGTAGCACCCGCTGCACCAGCAGCTGCTTAGTAAGTGTAATTTGCGCAAAGAGCGCCCTGTAATCCGCAGGCAGCAGCCGCTCCGTGCAACCCACCTCTTGAGAGTCCCAGGGTTAAAAAGGGACCCAAGCAGCGCTCCGCGGCTTTTCACCCCCACGCAACCCCTCACCCGCGACTGCTGAGGGTTTTTCGGTCCAGTGGGCTCTGGAAACCGGACCTCGAGTTTTGTGCTGTTTGCCTATTTTAAGCCGGGGAGTATGCCCCCACCCTTCAGATCTATCATCTCCTTCTCTTTCTGCATCTACGGGGCTTTCAACCTCAGGAGAGCTGCGGCCACCTCGGTGCTCCAGCCCGACCAGAGGCCACGGTGCCCACTTGGAGCAAAAGCAGAGTGCGGTGACCTCCGAGTCCACGTGTGGCGTGGGCCTCCGCCCAGGTCCGCGGATTCTGCCTCTACCCTGCCCCCACCCCCACACACTCCCCGGGAGTAGAGACCCCTTTGCGGGCAGCGCGAAGCTAGGGAGCCGGGGGCAGCTCGCTCTCCTGACCCTCCCGCGCAGTGCGCTCGGAACCCGACCGTACCGGGATTGCACGTCGGGCGGGCGGATGTCGGCGGCGCTAGGTGTTGGGTCCGGACTTGGCGGCAGCGGCTCCCGTACTCGGAGCTGGGCGCGGGAGGGGCCTTAAATGGAACGGGGAGGCTGACGTCAGGGGGGTAGCCGAGCGGACGTGCGGGAACCCACGTGTGGGTCGGGCTAGGGGCGGGCTGGAAGCCAGGCGGGGCAGTGGAGAGGCTCAGGCGGCGCGCGCAGCGGGACCAGAGATCTGGGGACAGACCTATGTGTGTGACTAGGGACCTAAGGGGCTGCCGGAACCACGCTGCCTCCGGCCACAAAAGCCCCGGCCAGAGCCACCAGCCAGTCAAGTCTACCCTCCGGAAAGTCTTCATCTGAATCTTCACCGCTGTTTCCCGTTGCTCGGAAAGAACAGCTTCTGGCACGTAGGCACTCAACAATTTGTTGGAAAGGAGGGGATGCCTAGCACGGCATCAGTCTCCTTACTTGGGTCGAGTGATTTCCAAAACTTGACGCTGCTTCCCCCACCCGCGGCTAAAACTTCCGAATTTCACATCTGGTTTCTCTCTCCCTCTCTCTCTGTCTCTCTGTCTCTGTCTCTGTCTCTCTCTCTCTCTCTCTCACACACACACACACACACACGCGCACGCACACTGCCAGAGTTGGTATCTCCCGTGTCTGCATCCGCTCAGCTGTGTCTCCTTCAAACTGGCTTGCATTAGTGATGTGTGTCACTTTGCTTTCCTAGTGGACAGCGATTCTTTCAAGGGTACAGATCAGTCTACTTCCTCCTTGAATCTGGGACCAACTTGGAGTTCAGTTCTGAGAAAGATCCATAATTATGGGTCTCTTGGTTTTGAAGGGAACAAGCTAACCTCAGCTCCAGAAAAGCAGGGCATCTCTCTAGCATGTCCTAGTAGCGTTCCTATTGCTCTAGGAGGCTCAGAAACCTAGGCTCTCACCTCAAACGCACAGTTAGACAGGCTGAAGGCCAACCCCAGATTCTCCATTGCTTCTCAGGGCAGGGCTGATTGCTGTGGTTCCCCGGTCTTTGCAACAATATCCTCATTCAGTCAGGGTTGGGCCCCTGCCTGCTTATCTGATGTGACTACAGCTGCTGGCAGGCGGGCAGAGTTCAGAGAATGGAAGGTAGGCAGCAGAGACAGGTAAGAACTCACACCAGCAGGACCTTGGGATGACCTCTAAAAATAACCTAGGTGGAAAGTTTACAGCCCCCTAAATTAAGGCACATAACAGCTCACTCCAAACACAGCTTCCTTCTTCTTATGCAGAACACTATCCTCTACTTAACTCTACAAAGATGAATAAAACAAGTACCATTTACTGAGCACCCCCCACGTGTCAGGCAGCAAACCCCTTTGCTCATCTTCACTCTAATTCTTTCAAGGAGGCGTAATTGTTCCCATTTTGCAGTTAAGAAGCCAAGGCTCAATAAAATTAGTTACTTTGCCAAAGTCAGACAACGAATAAGTGATTTCAGCTGATTCTTTAGGACCAACTGGCTCCAACCTCTGATTTTTTTTTAACTATTTATTATTTTTTTAATGTTTTATTTATTTCTAGGAGAGAGAGAGAGAGTGTGAGCAGGGGAGGGTCAGAGAGAGAGGGAGTCACAGACTGAAACAGGCTCCAGGCTCTGAGCTGGCAGTCAGCACAGAGCCCGACGCGGGGCTCGAACCCACGAACCGCGAGATCATGACCTAAGCGAAAGTCGGACGCCTAACCGACTAAGCCACCCAGGTGCCCCAACCTCTGATTTTTTTCTGTTGTCCTTTCTCCACCCCTCACCGCTCACTCCACAAAAGTCAAGAAATTATGGGCGGGGGGTGGCGGGGGCAGGCAGTACCTGGGTGGCTCAGTCAGTTAAGCGTCTGGCTTTGGCTCAGGTCATGATCTCATGGCTAGTGAGTTTGAGCCCCACATCGAGCTCTGTGCTGACAGCTTGGAGCCTGGAACCTGTTTCAGATCCTATGTCTCCCTCTCTCTCTGTCCCACCCCACTCACACTCTGTCTCTCTCAAAAATGAATACATGTTAAAACAATTTTTTTAAAGAAATTATGGAGGGGAACCATGCTAACCCCAGGCTCAGAAAATTTCATTTTCGGTGAGAGATAGTAGATGCTACTGGGTGTCTCTGCCTGTCCGTTGAGCTGAGACATCAGTCTTCTCTGCCCTCAGGCTGGTACTTCTACCATCCGTACTCCTGCTTTCCAGGCTTTTACACTTGGACTGGATTTTATACCACCTGCTGTCATGGGTCTCCAGCCTACAGGTGGCAGATCTTGGGATTTCTCAGTTTCCATAATTGCCTGAGCCAACTCCTTATAATAAATCTTGTTATATCTCCTGTCAGTTCTGTGTCCCTAGAGAACCCTGACTAATACAGTCCAAAGGGAAGAATTTCTGTACTGAAGCCCAAGCAGAATGTGGGATCCATGGGATGGATCAGAAAGCACTGTTTCAGAGGGCAGAGCAGACTTCTCCAAACTAACCAAGTGTTCTTCAAGGATGGTCCCTTTATTTTATTTTATTTTTTTATAGTTTACTTATTTTTGAGACAGAGAGAGACAGAACATAAGTGGGGGAAGGGCAGAGAGAGAGGGAGACACAGAATCTGAAACAGGCTCCAGGCTCTGAGCTAGCTGTCAGCACAGAGCCCAATGTGGGGCTCGAACCCACAAACTGCTAGATCATGACCTGAGCCGAAGTCGGACGCTTAACTGACTGACCCACCCAGGTGCCCCAAGGATGGTCCCTTTAAAAGGGAACATCTCACAAAACGGGGCTTGACCAGGGGACACTCTGGCCTCAGAGAATGGGTGGTGCTCAGCAACCAATATAAGATTTTCCTAAAATGGACCTGGCCAACGAATGATGTCCACCCAAAGGACAGTGCTGAGTCATTCCTTCATTAAGTATTTGTTACAGCCATCCTCCAAAAAGTTCAACAGCTCCTCATTCAGTGGCATCAAGAATAAAATCCAAATCCTTAGAAGGTACCTTAGGCGTTCTACGATCCAGTGCCACATCCCCTCTCTGGCCTCATCTTCTATCTTCCTTCATGCTTCCCAGATCCCAGTCCCAAGGCTCTTACCACATTCCCCCGACATGCCATGCACTTCTGCCTAGGCGAATTCTTCAGCCTGAATGTTCTTCCCCTTGCCACCATCCCTGTTCTACCCAGACCCACACATTCATAGGTCAAATGCTGTTGCTTGAGCTTTATTTCAAACTAATTCTTATTGCTGTTCCTCTCTTTTTCTCACTAGACTGTGAGCTCCAAATGGACAGAAACTTTCTCATTTATCTCCATATTCTCAGCGCATATATTGATTTGTTTTTATAAATGTATTTTGAATTACATGCCTGCTATGGTGAAGGGCACTGTGCTAGATGCTGGGGATATAAAAATGAAAAAGACACATTTATAAGCCTTCAAAGACTTTACGATTTAATGGGGGAGGCCAACAGCTTTCCCCTCTATGGTTAAAATGCAAGACAGATTATCACACTGCTTCAAAAGAGGCAGAGAAGGGCCCCGGCTAGGCAGCGGCGGCAGCGGCGTCTCCGTGAGGAGGCGCGCGGGGCCATGACGTCAGCGTCCACGAAGGTCGGGGAGATCTTCTCGGAGGCGGGCGCCGCCTTCACGAAGCTCGGGGAGCTGACGATGCAGCTGCATCCCGTGGCCGACTCTTCCCCCGCGGGCGCCAAGTGGACGGAGACGGAGATAGAGATGCTGAGGGCTGCTGTGAAGCGGTTTGGGGACGATCTTAATCACATCAGCTGTGTCATCAAGGAACGGACAGTGGCCCAGATAAAAGCCACCGTGAAGCGCAAGGTGTGTGAAGACTCGGGCATCCCCCTTCCGGCCGAGTCACCCAAGAAAGGGCCCAAGAAGGTGCCGTCTGGGGTCCTGTCGCCTCCTGCGGCTGTCCCTCCGCCAAGCAGCTCCGGTGTCCCTGAGGCCGGGGGTCCCCCCATAAAGAAGCAGAAGGCCGATGTGACGCTCAGCGCCCTGAACGACTCGGACACCAAAAGTGACCTGGTGGACATTGAACGGCTAGGGGAAACCCCTCCAGCCAAGAAACTCAACTTCGACCAGGCCTGACCTTGGACTCTGGCCCTCTCGTGACCTCTGCCGACCCTCCTCCACTCTCTCGCTGAGCCTTCCGCCTCTGACCCCTCTCACTGTTCACGTGGACCTGTGGATCGCCGGGGACCCTGAGCAGGCCCGCGCGAGCAAGGGCCACAAGGCTGCGGGGGGGAAGGAGGGGGTGCCTCGCTGTTCCTGTATGAGCATCGGCCCCCCAATCCCTCTGACCTCCATCACATGGACGTTTTTATACAGAAAACAATAAAGATTCTCCTCTCAAAAAAACAAAAAACAAAAACAAAAAAACAACAAAAGAGGCAGAAAAAAATTGCCCTAACACTTATAAAAGAGAAGGGTCCTTTGGCTAGGACTATCAGAGAAGGCTTCTCAGGAGAGGCAGCATCAGAGCTTAGCCGAGAAAAAGACTTCAATTGATGAAGATCAGGTGTTGAGAAAGAGGAGCATGAGCCTGAGCAAATGTGTTGAGGCAGGAAATTCAAAGTGTACTTGGTGAAATCTTTAGCTTTAAATGCCAGGATGTGAAATTTGGGTGTTTTTGCTGTTGTTTTTGGTGGTCTGTGGAAGTCAGATGCTTTTGGAGAATGGGAGAGAGAGAGAGTGAAAGCAAGGTAGTTGAGAAGTCTGGAAAGCACAGTGGGGTGGGGTGGGGTGGGGACACACCTTTTTTTGGTAATAATTCACAACAAGAAGCTCAAAACATACACAGAACATTCACTTCTCAGAAACACCCTACACAGCCCCGCAGTCCCTCTTTTTTTCACCTTTTCCATGTTTGCAAAGCTGATGGGTTTTCTGAGTTTCAGGGCCCAAGATGCAGATGGCCTCATCAGTCTCTGTCCCTGACAGGCGAGGTTCTAGAATGACTGCTTCATGTCATCCTCCCAACCCCCTCCATCTCTCACATGATGTGAGTGGAAGCCGGAGACTCCACGCTGACTCCTCAAGTCCTCCTTGGTGCCTCGTCTGCTGGTACACTGGTGCCTCCCCCCACCTCCTTCGCCTCCCCTCTTCCAGGCTGCGCTCACCATCAGGTACTAGAAGCTGCCTCTGTTTCTCTTTTTGGCTTAGATTGTTATTCCCTCCAGAGTTCATTCTTCACCTGACAGAATCCACCTCAGAAGCTCTGGATTCCTTTTTCTGCAGACTGAATGTTTGCATCCTTCCCCCAACTCATGCTGAAACCTAATCCCAAATGTGATAGTATTGAGAGGGGAAGCCCTCAAGAGGTGATTAGAGCATCAGGCACAGGCTTCATGAACAGGATTAGTGCCCTTAAGAACCAGGAGCTCCCTTGCCCCTTCTATCATGTGAAGACACAGCAAAAAGTCTATGGACTTGGAAGTGGGCTCTCACCAGACATTTGCTGGAGCCTTGGTCTTGGACTTCCCAGACTCCAGAACCATGAGAAATAAGTTTCTGTTGTTTATAAGCCACCCAGTCTGTAGAATGTTGTGACAGCAGCACGAATAGACTAAAGTACCTTCCAGCTACTTCCTACCCAAAGAAAAGAATTGAGACCTGTGCCCTTTTCTCTCCAGCCTACTCTGTCACGGAGTGAGGCCTCAAGCTTTCCATCATATTGCCAGATTCCAAGGCGAAGACCGTTGCCAAAATATAAGTGGTTTCCAAATTGAGGGCCCCAAAATCAGCGTGCCGAGGGAGTCCCGAGGCCTCTCGAAGCCAGACAAGCCCCAGCGTGGTAACGGAGTGTCCCTTCTCTAATCCCGCAGGGGAGGACTGTGGGAAGCTGCGATAGCCTTTCCCTCCAACATCTTGGGTGGCAAGGACAGTGATGGCCATGGCTTAGCAACATTGAACGGGCAGCCTGCTGGAGAGGAGACACTGAACTGGGGGTCAGGAGACCTGGGTTCTTGCCCTGGTTTGGTCACAGACCTCTGAGTGACATTGTGGCAGCCACATTCCCTCTGTAGTCTCGCTGTCTTTGACTAAACGTAAGAGGATCTCTGTTCCAGTTCTAACACCCAGGGAGGCTCTGAGTTAACAAATCAAGCCTCCACACACCCCTTCATTTTTACAATTGCTCAGAACTCAGAGGCAAAGCTGCCCCCCATTTTAGGAACTGATTTGGGCTGCTTCTCGTGTGGAACGAGGAGTTTCCAATGTGGAAGCAGACATTCAAGGGGCCTGGCTGTCTCCATGGCAACCAGAATCCCATGCCTAGCCTTCTCCCCTCCTCCATTTTAGTTCAAAAACTGGGTCCCAACCTCCCAAGGCACTGATTGGGTGTTGCATTTGTTGATAAAAAGCCTCACTGGGCTTTGAAAACAAATTTCCAGTAACAGGAACCTATCTCTGATTCTTTAAGGAATTCTTTAAACCTTGCAGCCTGACCAAATGAGGAATTGCATTCCAAGCCCTAGCTCAAAAAAGAAGGGTCATTCCTATAAAATTCCAAGAGGATCAAAGCAATTGTAACTGTGAATAAAACCAGAGAGGTCTATCTGTAATTTCCTGGGCCCGGGGTGTGGGCAAGGAATGGAGGTCTTCTGATTTGTGCCGGTGCTGACTGGCAGAGCTTCCTCACTGAAATTTGGGTCTGTGGGCCCTGGGGTTTTGTTTAAACTACTATCTATACACAGCCACTCATCTAGCTATACCTCACAAAGGAGGTTCTGCCTGTACTTGGAGCCTGTTCAGAGGACCTTGACCTGAAAAGACAGTCCCACCTCATTTCTTAGGGTACTAGAAGGGCTTCTGGCTCCCTGAGAAATGTGGGGTTCTGGCAAGAGAAGCAAAGGAGAGCTTCCGTGGTACCCCAAGAGGGATCTCAGGCTGTGGTGAGGCTGGTGCAGGCAAGAAGGCTCCCCCCACCCCCTGCAGCTAGGTGACATGCACTGGGCCCTTCCTTTGTGCATAGTCTAGGGGGGCTTTCATATCCGCTCTCTAGCGGCCTTTGTACTTCAACCAGGAGAAGAAAACAGAGTAGGAATTTTTACTTCCATTTTGCTGGTGAGACTGTGGAAACCTCAAATCCTGGACTCGCCCCAGGCCACGCTGGGAGACAGCCAGGTGGACCGCACATCCCCAGACGAGCTTTCCTTCCCCGGCTGCACCCTGCCCCTCTGTCTGCATAGCCTGGAAAGCAGTTGGCCCTCTGCTCCTTGGATATCAAAGGGCAAATGTGACAGGGCTGCAGAAAGGCCCTGGCGGCCGGGCTGTCCACGGGGCTGCTCCAGGGCCGTACCTAACCAGCCTCCCTCTCCCTGGCACTCCATGAGCTTGCACAGCCCACGTGTGCACAGGGCCAAACTCTGCCCTTTGTACAAACACACTTGCAGTGTCAGGCCCTCTCAAAGGACATTTCACCTTAGCTCAGCCTCCAGTTTTAGCCACAGAAGGGATGAAAGCCTAGGATAGTTCCTCCCAGCCTTGGCCTTTCTTTACCACCAGCCCCTCACGCCTGCCCCTGCTTTGCTTACACTGCAGGGCTTCTTGGCTACTCTCTTCTGGCCCACAGGGCGAACATTCACTGTGGGGAACTAGGGCTCGGTGAAGGGAAGTGCCCCGGGCTCCCACAGTGCTTCAGGGCTGGTGACCAAGGGCTGGAACCTCCCAACTAGTCCAGTACTTTCTCACTGCAGCAGACACGCGGCTTCTCAACCAGCCTGGGCTCTATCCTGCCACTGTGGGTGTGGCTCCCATTGCGTCTCCGAATCCTGGGGTTTTTCCACTGTCTCAGAGCCTCTTCCAAGAGCCCATGATTGAAGTTGGCACTTGGCCCTGAGGCCTCACTGTGCCAGAGGCCACACCCCAGCCATTAAAGCTACAGGACTAGCAGGCCACCTCAGCCTCAGCCTTCTCTCCAAGCCCCCTTAGCAGCAGACTCATGATATCACAGACCCTCCCCTTAATCTCAGCTGGTTCTCAAGCAACAGCATTTCTCCTCCTCCTTCTCCATTAGCCACGGAGGAGCACAGGCTGTGCCAGCATCTCCATGGTAACTGGGGCCTCGGCTTCCTGCCTTGGGCAATAATCCAGAGCCAGCACCCTTGCGGATCTCCTTTGTCGATGCCAGGATGGCTGACTGTCCCTGCAGGCCCCACCACGGCCTCAGTGTCATTCCTGGGAACAGCCCGGGCAGGCAGCCAGGCTGGGTCGCACTGGAAGGCTCTAAACCCATCGGTTCTTTGAGAAAGGTCCTGAAATGGGGCAGGCTGGTAAGCCCACCCCCTCTCTGCCACATGGAATCGACTCCTCAGGGCAGGACACGGGGCTCTGGTGTTAAACCCTCTTCAGGGCAATGGGTAAAAGTTGAAAATTCCACAATATGTTGGTTGGCTTTAGACTTTGCTCTCCCTGGCAGAGGGGGTAGTGGTGGTGCAGGAAACAGAGTGCAATGGATTAGGCAACAATCCCAGTTCCTCGCCATCCCTCACCCCACAAAATGGCTCCTGGGGCAGGTGAGGGGCTAGCAGGCTCTCAAGCAGGGAGGGCGCTGATCAACGGGGAGTCCAAGACTCCAGAGAGAGAGGGTGGGCAGACGACCCTTGCCAGCTCTCCTACTGGAGGAGGAAGATGGGGGCTGGCAGTGCATCCGGGGGCAGGGCTGGAGCTGACCTCACTGTCACGATCCCAGTGAGATCTGGGGAGAATCTTCAGAGAGGTTCCGTTTCCAGGAGAAAAAGAAATCAGAATGCAAAGTGGAACTGTTCCTGGTTCCTCAGGCTCCCCTTCTCAGCCCTCCGTGCACCTCTCTGCTTCCCCAACAGCACTTCTGGCAGAGGACGGGACTGGGCTTCAAGTTCAGTTGTATATACTCAGTACCAGGCGAGAGTTCACGGGCCATTCCTGTTCACCTTTCCCCCCAATCTCAGGGGAGTCTGTCTTTAGCTGAACTTGTTCTTTGGGCTTTTTGTGATACAGAATCACGAACCCCAAGTGGGACCTAAGACTGTATGGGAAGGTTGAGGGGAAAAGGATTTAGGTCTACAGGCGGTTAATCCACATAATCAAGAGGAAGAAAAAATGTCTCAGGGGAATTTTGGAGGCTGTGGGGGTGGGCAATTTAAACAGATGCCCCGACTCTGTGGTCTGTTGAAGGCAGGTGGGCTGCAGGGAAAGAGGATTCTCAGTTTGTGCTGCCATGATCCCCACTCC